GTCAAAATGGCCTAAAACCAAAAAATTAAAAATTCCTATTTCGGCTATAACTCCGCCTCCTTCGGAGGTTCTTATAGTATTTACTTCCCGCATCCCACTTTTTCAAATAATTAATAGCTAAAATAAACAGACGAATTTAGAACCACCTCCTGAAGTCGGCTAAAGCCGTGCCGTTTTTACGTGGTAGGGCCATACTGCAGCTATATTACTGGTATAGTTGTAGCACGAATGGGTTGCTTCGACTCGGGAAGTATTACGCTCTAACAGAATATCAGCGTAATAGCAGCTTAACATGCTGTGTTTCGTATGGTGAGTGTAGAGAACCGGAGACCCTTTTTACTGGAAACGAGGCATTCCATCTTAGTCCTCACGGGTGACAAGGCATCTGCATTTTGATTCATTATTAAGGATAGATGTAGATGTCTATGGGCCGCAGTAACCACTTACCATCAGGTGGACTGTGTGCTCATTTGTCACACTTATCCTGCAGGGATGGTAGATATGCTAAGGATATAGAACGACGAGTGAAATAGAGTGAATGGGGCTCTACGCGTACACGCTATTATGAGGAGTCAGAATGTGTCAAATAAGGCACGTATGGCAATTCATAATGCTCTGTTAGTCCCTACTTTAATGTATGGTAGTGAAAATTGGGTCTGGCAGAAGAAGCATGAGAGTAGAATAAATGCTGTAGAAATGCGGTCATTAAGGAGTATGCTAGGGCTGAATCTGAATGATAGGGTGAGAAATAGTGTGAGAAGAGAAAAGTGTGGTTTGCAAGATGACGTTGTGACCAGGATTAAGAAAGAAATGCTTCGGTGGTTTGGTCATGTAGAAAGAATGAACAAGGAAAGAGTGACAAAGCAAATTTATATTGCAGAAGTGAACGGCAGAGTCGGGAAGGGACGCCCTAGACGAAGGTTTATCAACCAATCAGCGATACATTGAAAATGGGCTAGATTAGACGGACCCTTAACCGACGAGCGTGTATGCGTAGATATATGGATGTAAAGGAGGCGAGAGAGGTGTGTCAGGATCAAGCCAACTGGAAGTCCGTAGTCTCTGCCTACCCCTCTGGGTGACAGGCATGAGTGTTTTGTGTAAGATATGTTTTCTTTCTAATACTTACCTGTCTAGTGATCTGATGAACGTGATGTAATTATAAGCTAAAAAAGTTAATATTACTAGGATTTTTAATATTTAAAACTAAATTATGTCTTCATTATATATATTTACAAAAAAAAATTAGAAAATGTTAGGTTCATATATTAAGTAGTCGCACTAAATTTCTCAATTTTCTTACCAGGCAAAGGGATTATGTTTTCCCGCGTCATTTCCTTTACTTTTCCATGCATTTTTCTAATTTTCACCGACTACACGTCATACAAGACGCAAATGGTAAATTAAATCCATAGAAACCAATTGACCCGCTTAAGCGGTTTTCTAGGGCCTGGTTAAGGGTTAAAAGAAATAGCTTTTTAATATTTAATTAATATTTTACCGTGTAGTGGCGGTGTAAGAATATCTACTACACCTTATCGTCCCGTGGGTGTCGTAAATTGAAACAGGTGATGCACGGCAATATTTTCCAGATAACACCTCTCACTAATAAAAACTGCGGTAGCCAACCCGCTTGCCAAGTGTAGCAAGAGGGGTTTTCAGCATTGGTATTTCATAAGCAGTAATGGCAATGGTAAGAATTTGTATGGCCTACGAAAAATTGTTCTGGATCTAGTTGTTTGTCCTTGTGAAATTTATGTATGTAAACTACGATACAGGAGAAAACACGAGTACAGAAGTAACTTTTTTAAAGAAAAGGAAAGAAAGTAAAGAATATTTTCAGTAAGTAACTTTACACTTTTATTAATATTTAAAATACCAATATATAACATTTTATAATAAATATCTAAAACATTAAAATGTTATTGTTACCATAAAGTTAGATTCAATCTATCTATCACAATGATTTAAAGCTGGGTGAATAATAGAACACTTAAAATTAAGCGATTAATTGAAAAGGCATCATAGACAAAACATTTTTAAAAATGATTTTGCATGTAAATGATTTTGACGGCTGCACTAAACGGACTATGTCCGCATGCAACGTTTTTTATATTGAACTGAGACTAGCTGTTGAATCTCCAGTTTTAAATATATTGTATTTTTTTTTTATATTGTGTATTAAAATCAATAAAATTTTAAAAATATTTTGATAACATTTTGACGGTTTGTTGTAGCAGTAGCTAAGCATAAGACTAAAGAGTCTCCCACAGAGAAGCGGCTTGCGGTGGCGGCTGTGGTGGTGGCCAGTTGTATTCGATGCAATGTAAGTGAGTCTGCAAACCCGTGCAACTATGGCGCGGCCCGCCAGCGGCTGGCGGCAGCATGCTGCGCCCCACATTGTACCTTCCATCTATCAACGCGTTTGTGTTAGCGAGTACGCGGTCAGTCGGTGACCGCAGCGCGGTCAGTTGCAAATTTTTACAACAGGCCGCGTGTACCGCGTGAAAAATGGTGCTAAATTCAGAGATTTAATAGAAACAGTGCAAAATTGTGATTACAAACGCATTAAGATTAGAAACAAAATATATGATAATATTGCTGAATATAATAAGACTTCGCCACGGTTAGTCATGTTACTGACGTCCAGTCGTAGCACAGACACCTCTACGAATGGCGCTTTAGGCCGCCGTTGTGACGGCGGTGGTGTGTTTTTGCAGCGGCTGGAGACGCGGCTCGCGGTTAGCCGCCACCGCAGTCCGCTTCTGTGTGGGAGACGCTTAACTCCATTTGGCGTTTTGGGGTTCAAATTCCACGCGGAGTAAGCATTTGTATGTGTTACGGGCCAAACGCGATTTTAGGAAAAAGTAATATCAGCACCTAGAGGAGGTAAAAGTACTACTGGGATTGCTCTTGGGCCATAGCCGCGGACATCAAATTGATCCTCTAGATTATTTTATTAAAAACTAGTTTGACCTCTAACCGTAAAGTACACAAATAACTGTTCGGATGTTTATTTATATGAGAGTTATCTTAGTAGAGACGCTTATAACATACAGGAAAAATTCCTTATGTGTGGTTAACGTTGTTAATAATTATTTAAAAAAGAAATAGTTTCGGAGAGACTGGCGCTTAGGTGATTGCTCGACACTATTCCGATGATAACCCACACTAACGGATGATATTTCAGCCGGGTGATGATGGAATTACAGCAGAGATTTTTAAAGAAAATGTTACAAGGTGATCACATGAATATCTTCCGATACATGACAGAATAGCCATCTCTGTTTTTACTTGATGATAGGACTCCTTAACCATCGTGGAGTTCGGTTGATAAGTTCGTTTGTCATTTCATTTTATATAAAAATATGCTAGAACTAAAATATACAACGGAGAGCAGCATCAAAGGTGTAAAACAGCTAGAAGTGCGATGATATGCTTATAAGTAAATTCTTTTAACTCTGCTTGATATGATCCTTCCTGTACTGGACAGTTTTTGGATTGGACAGGAATAGGAGATTTCATAAATTATAATTATCAAGCATAGAGAAACACGGGCCAACGGCGGACCTGAGTTGAGCAGCCATAGCGTTTTCCCTCCATATGTCTGTCCATCATTTTTTGCGGGTGGAAATCTGCGTAGACAAAAACAATCGTCTGTCACTACGAAACTCACACATAACAATTGAAACAATAAACTAACAATCTCGCAAACATACAGATACATTATAACTGTATAGCTCGGTGAAAGTGACAACTCGGTTACAGACTCGGGTCAGTCACTCGACCGATCTGCATATTGTATAAGGGCTAGCGGCGTGTTCGTAAACAAATAGGAAACATCAGGACCGTTATTAGATATTGTAATTTTTTTAAAGTTTAAATAGAAATAAATAGCAATAATGTGATTAAAAATTACTTATAAAGGTAACAACATCTTTTTGTAAATTTGACATGATAGATCTGATTTTGCAGCAAAACTGAACAATTAAGCATTTTCATAGGAAGCGCAACTAGATTTCTTCTAGTGAGCAGTGCGGCTACAATTAGTTTTATTGTAGGTATACGACCGCGTGGACTGAGAAAGGGGAACGCCTGCGTATGGATACTCCCCTCCGATTCGTCGGTGGCACGTGGTGCTCTATGTTATGAAGTATTACACTTTGATTGGAATTTTAATCGAAAGTTAAATTGTTGTTAAAAGTTAAACTAAGAGCCTATAGTTAAAATTTTGAAATGGTTTAAAATGAACTACATTTTAATTTTCGGTTAAAATTCCAATAGTACTCATTCAAAAGTTATTTCCTTATTAATACTTACGTTCTAGTTGTATGTAAAATTAGCTATTATATATAACTACAGAATATAACAAAAAAAGAAAACGCAAAAAAAACATAACCATTAATTATTTTTATAAACTCATGGCACGCAGTGTGTAAGGCATGAAAGGAAAATTTGTTCAATTTCTAATTTTTTTTATTCCTACGTCAATATGAGACGTAAATACATTGACGTCAGAACTTTCAGAGTCTTAAATCAAGTTTATTTATAATCCCAAAAATTTTCATAAAATTAATTACACTATTTCAAATAAAATTAAGTCACTTTTTAGTTTTAACGACTAAAAACAACGACATATTGTTTTCAAAATAAGGAGTTATTTGAGCTTTATTTTTGTGTGTAGTATAATTTCTACAAATAGAAAAAGCAAGCCTTTGAAATCTTAATTTTAAAATAATTTAATTGTAAAAAATGTTTATTGACGTATTTATTGTGCGCGTGTTAATATTTTGCATATTGATTTCATAAATCTTGCAATGATAAGTTGTTAATTTAAAAACTATATGTATATATGGACGTTTAAACTTCTTTAGTTTAAAATCACGGACTCTTGTTCTTCGGAATTATCTACTTCCATAATAGTACTTTTCTTAACTCCTTTTTAATTGAAATGGAAAGAAAATCTTTCTAGGAAAGTAATTATAGCTTGACAACGGCTGTTATGACCACGCTTTTGTTTTCAGTAAAAGTACGGGCCAGTACATTGTGACGAAGAGCAGAAACAAGGCCGGGAATACAATTCTTGACAGTCTGTCTATTTCGTACCAAAGAATGCGCTCTTGACCCGTGTCGGTATCAAGCCATGCCACCTGCAAATAAAAAATAATAAAATTTATATAGATTACATCTGTAGCCGTAAACTACACGATTAGAACGCTAACCTATATTTTTAATAAAAGTTATGATTTAAATTAAATTAAAATTAAATTAATTTAAAAAGTTATAATCAAAGTACGTCGTAGAATGGTGTTGGTAGCATGAGAGAAACAACGTTTACAAGCTGAAGCTGTTTATTTTAAAAAGTGAACCTAAGCACACTTTTCTAAATCTAAACTACTAATTTGTGCACCAGATGGTGCGGAACAACAAGACAGCAAGCTTCGGGACCCGCGCTACTTCATAGTCACCGAGAGAAGCCGGCCACAGACGAGCGTGTGCCTGCTGTACTACCATATATCAGAGGAGTCATAGGCAAGATTGGCTACATCTTGGAACGAGCTTCTATTAAAAACATACCGGGTATATCACAGAACATATGTATCGATGAGATAAATATGAAATAGTCAGTTTGCGATGTGTATTATGCACACTTGACAAAAGTGCTTAACACTCGCTTGTCGGGCGTTAATAAGACACACGCATAAAACGATTGAGTCATGCTGGTTCTCTTGTATGTATATAAATACCACTGACTAAATGACTCATCACGAGATCTCTAAAACTGTACATCCTATTGACTTGAAATTTACTATAGTTACTAATTTTGCAATGTACAGATTCACTAAGAACGGATTTTACAATAATCCCATCAAAAAAAAAGTGAGCGGGTATCAGGTAGCACTATATAAATACTAACTACCTTATAAATAATAACAAATGAGTTAACATAGTTACAATTCCGGCAAACAACATCCTTAATTACAATACCGACATATTACGGTTTAGGGAAGGGACCTTACATCATAGACTTAGCATATACTGGCGCATAGACCGACATAGTGTGCAAGGAAGAAGAAAATTCCTTATGGCACAAATGCGATATAGAAAAGGATACCAAATCTCATGACTGTGTAACCGATTATGGATTTTCACGTGGTAGAGCCATGCTTCAGCTGTATTAACTGTATAGTTGTAGCAGGAATGGGTCGGCTCGACCGGGGAAGGACAACGCTCTCACAGAATACCAGCGTAAAATAGCAGCTTAACACTGCTGTGTTTCGTATGGTGAGTGTAGAGAACCGGAGACCCTTTTTACTGGAAATGAGGCATTCCATCTTAGTCCTCACGGGTGACAAGGCATCTGCATTTTGATTCATTATTAAGGATAGATGTAGATGTCTATGGGCCGCAGTAACCACTTACCATCAGGTGGACTGCGTGCTCATTTGTCACCATTTACTATAAAAGAAGGATTATGAATGACAGGTCGGAATAAGTCGCCACTCAAGAAATAGCTCCTAGATATTTTGTAATTGTTTTAAGTGTAATAGTGGTTATTTATAGTAAGTTTTTTCCAAAATGGTTGCTTGTTCTGTGAGTGACTGTGGTGTTAATAATAGAAATAACCCTGATAATTGCAAGACGTCGTCAATGTTATGATGCGTTTATTTTTTGTTAAAATTTATGTTATATATACTGTTTAAAAAATAGAATGTTTTTAATTATTTTGTTAATTTTAATATTTTCCAAAGAAAATAGTCACGTTGTTGATAATTTGCATGAATTTGGTAAGTACATTTTTATACAAAATATTTTACATCTACGCTAGGAATTGACTCAATCATTTTAAAATTAATGTCGATATTTATCTTCAATGTTTATAATGAATCGCTAGACTTGCCCACACAACAAGAAAATAAGTCCTTGTTTAGCGTTCTAAAATGTAATTTTATTTAGCCGTGCGTCAAACATATTCCCTCCGGATTCTATAATAAGAAAAAATGGTTACGGTTAATTGGATGGGTTGGTTGGAATCCAAAGAAGAACTCAACAATTTGCAGCAAACATTTTTTTGCGACTTATAAAAGAAAAAGTAGAAAAAAAACAATTTTATTAAAAGGAGCCATTTCTACATTATTTGTATTAGTAAGTACAATATTGTTATAATAAGACTTCAAAAATTTAACTTTCAAAACTTTAGATAAATATAGAGACAGATTTTTATTTATTATAAAACAGTAGTACATTAAAAATAAATTGAGATTATCTTCTTTAAGCCATTATGAACAAACTAAGTATCTATTTATCAACTAAAATAAATCTCTATCCTTACTAAACCAACCAAATAGCCTCACGGTCATACTAGTATGATATTCATAGCATCACGCTATTTTCCCCAAGAGGTTGAGCAGAGGTTCGGATTATCTTCCTAAGTCACAATAATAAAACTTTTAGTGTAGTTAGGTATATTTAGTAATACTCCTGAAGCGCCACTAGAAGCCTACGCATGAGGCGCGATAGTATAAATTCTATAGTATTTGATAAAACGCTCCATGCCCGATTCATGCTTGATGGCAGACGACATTATGCCAGAAACAGAAACAGAAACTTTTTTATTCAATATAGATTATAAATAATACTTATTGAAAGTCACTCTTTTGTTTGATTACCACTGGTTCGGAAAAACCTCTGTCCTGGGAAGAACCAGCGAGAAACCCAGCGAGACTTTTTTTTAAATAACAGCTTACAATCATGATGTTACACAAATTAATAACACAACAAATTAGAAATAGCTTGGTAGCGATCACCTCATTTCCAGGGGTTATTATCATCCATAAATTCCTTAATATTATAATAACCCTTTTTATACAAACTTAGTTTAATAAAGTTTTTGAACTTTGAACAGGTCAAACTTTGTATATTTTCTGGAATTTTGTTGTAAAAGCGTATACATCGCCCCAAGAATGAATTACTGACTCGATGAAGTCGAGTAACTGGTACTACTAGCTTGTGTCTGTTCCTAGTATTTACAGAATGAATATCACTTATTTTCTGCCGACTTCCAAAAAGGAGCCGGTACTCAATTCGACTGTATGTTTTTTTTTTTCGTTTTTTTTTTATGTGTGTTACCTCAGAACTTTTTTCTGGGTGAACCGATTTCGATGATTCTTTTTTTATTTGAAAGCTGGTACTTCTCGTGTGGTCCCATATGAATTTGATCAAGGTCAGACCAATAGTTTTTAAGTTATTCTTAAATAACTTATATTGAAGTCGGCTGTACAAAATTTTTAATTTTAAATTATTGTAAAACTACTTTTATTTTTGTGTACGTACATTACATTTTCATAAATGTATTGAGAGGCCAAAGTTAATATATTAATTTCCTTAAATTTTTGTCGCAGCGACTCTTTAGGCTTTAAATCATAAATTGCTCTTATGGCCCTCTTCTGCAAAACAAATATAATTTCAGTGTCAGCTGCGTGTCCCCATAGCAAAATACCATACGACATTATGCTATGGAAGTAGCTGAAGTAAACTAGTCTAGCTGTTTCAACACTGGTTAGACTTCTAATCTTTTTTACAGCATATGCTGCAGAACTAAGTCTGCTTGCTAGTTTTGATATATGGGGGCTCCATTGAAGCTTCGCGTCTAGTGTGATTCCAAGAAAATTGGTGGTATCTACAAGACTCAGTTTCTCCCCATTTAAAATTACATTAGTATTTAATTGTTTGACATTTGGAGTCACGAATTTCATACATTTTGTTTTAGTGCCATTTAAATGCAAATTATTAACATCGAACAAATTTACTAATTTAGATATAGCATTATTTACTTCGTCATATTTTAGTAACTGTCGACTTAATTTGAAAATTAAAGAAGTGTCATCTGCAAATAATACTATATCATGATTATCCCCTACTATGTAAGGTAAGTCATTAATGTATATGACGAGGGACAGAGCTCCTCGTTGTTTTTAAAAAGTGTGACGTCAGCATGCTGACGTCACTAATGTTATTTCCATGGAGATCACTCATCTTCAATCTTCCAAAGAAAACACCACAACTAACCTGAAAGCCTCGTTTATTCGACTGACAGCGTAACAATGTACTTACAGAGGTCTGTACTGTTCGGCTGCTCGAGCCAGACTGACTTAGCACGCTCTGTGCGGTCGTTTTTATAGCGTGGCAAGCACGTGTACATGAGTTTTAGGTCAAGCATTGAATTATGTGAATCACAAGATTTTTACATTGTAATAATCAAAGAGTGAGTATTAAACGGCTTATGAACTATTTTTGACACAATAAAATTATTAAACCGAGTAATTAATCATTATAATTTATGAACTATTGTTGCTGCGCCGATATATACAAGAAACAGAAAGGGGCCGAGAATTGAGCCTTGAGGCACGCCCATTTGTACTATCGATCCGGAAGAGCTCATATTGTTAATGACAACTTTTTGCGTTCTCTTACTTAAATATGAAATAATTAATTTAAGGGCATCACTTCTTACACCGTAGTGTTGAAGTTTCCTGATTAATGTTTCATGGTGAACACAATCGAAGGCCTTGGATAGGTCACAAAATATACCCAAAGCATCCTGTGAATTCTCCCATGCATTAAAGATAGAGCCACGCGGCAGCTTTTGCTGTCGCACGGAAGGGCCGGCTCGAACCGGGGTGGTACCACGACCTCACAGAAAACCAGTGTGAAGTAGAGGTTTACCTCTGCGTTTCGCTTGGTGAGTGCAGGTGGCGGGAGGCCCTTTTTACTGGAAATGAGGCATTCCATCTTAGTCCTCACGGGTGACAACGCATCTACATTTTGATTTATAATATATAGATGTAGATGTCTATGGGCCGCAGCAACCACTTTCCATCAAGTGGACTGTGTGCTCGTTTGTCACCCTTATCCTATATAAAAAAAGATATATTTAATCAGCTCAACACCGGCATCAGTTGTCGAGCGACCCCTTGTGAAACCAAATTGATTTTTATGAAGTAAATTATTTATATTAAAAAAATTTAACATTTGATCAAAAACATTTTTTTCAAAAATCTTACTAAGTGTTGGTAGTACAGAAATAGGTCTAAAATTGGCGGGGTCTAATGTACTACCAGATTTAAATAAAGGTATTACTTTACTTTGC